GTAGGTACCTGGAAGGTTAGGGTTAAGCCCCCTGTATCAAAAGCGTGGGACTTTTCCGTCGTCCTTCGAGGTTCGTCGGGACGGGAGACGCCAGCGAGCTCCGAGCTCCTGCAGACCCCAATAGTTCACAGCAGCTTTCTGCAGGATGAAGGTTTGGTCGCCTTCCTCGGCGTTCGTGCGGGTGAGGGAGTAGCATGCCTGGTGGAGGCCTCATTCAGGTGGCCCTTCATGAATCGCCTCTGCCCAGCAACCTTGCCTGGGATGCTGGTTTCACCAGCTTTGTCAAGCACAATCAGAGTGATACAACAGGTCTTGGAAGAGCCCTTCGCCATAGTGGCGGCGACCGCAGCTTGGCTCGAGTTGCAGAGAATCACAGCCTTGAAGGTGTCGGCCGCCGCAGTTTTGTCAATCGCTGCTGCCAGGCCATCGTAGCTGGAAATACCGGGCGGAGCCCGACAAGTGTGGCTTTGGGGTTTCATGGGCCTTAGGGTAAGGGGGTTTACTGGTTTACGGGTTTAGGGTTTAGGCTTTAGGACCACACATCATAGAACCCTACGGGTCCCAAGTACCGTATAGTTGAAAAGCGATTTTTTATAATAGGAGTTGCTATTCGGGCTTGGGCAAGCATTCCCCATGAAGGTACTTAGGACAATTTGGGGAAGGAGTCCATGAAGCCGTTGAGGCGGATAGTGAGTTCATGCCTGCAGATTGTCCCACATAATATAAGGGCCTTAACAATTACCCATAGGCCCTAAAGTAGTTCCTTTTTGGGGATCATATTTAGAATCCTATAAGGTAATCCCAAAAAGGAACTACTATGGCGCGTTAACAATTAGAACGGTATATTGTGCTTTTTATCTTTAGGAACACCAAAACAGGTTCGGTACTTCTTTGACCCCTATGATCAACGGGGGTCTGAGGCACTGCTTGTGCTGCCCCGGTCATGTCCAAGGTGTCTGATCTCGGACTCGAGTTTCTTCCAAAGGAACCACGTTTGGAGAAAACCCTAAACCCCTAAACCCTAAACCCCTAAACCCTAAACCCCAACCCCAAACCCCAAACCCAAACCCTAAACCCCTAAACCCCTAAACCCTAAACCGCAGGAACCAGAAAAGCGACTCTGGGCCGATTTGGGTTTTGCTGTCCGGGGTTGAGAATGTAGGGGCCTTCATATGGGTAGCTATCTAAATGTACGGCACCCTTATGAAAAGGAATGTAGATCAGGTCTTTGGGCTGAGTATAGCTACATGCAGGAGCCCTGAGGGAAAAGTGACTTCTGATTCAGGCTTCTAGATTAGGGTTTAGGCCTTAGGGTTTTAGGGTTTAGGGATGTTTGGCTCGGAGTTCTGGGCTTGGCATCCGCGGGGACATGGGGGGGGGCCCTGTTTTTTGGATTTTGGTTCGCAGGGTCTCCAATGCGAATAGAGTATACTTATGGGGTATCTTGTAGCGGATCTTGGCATGGTGCGTGGCATCCTGTTTTGGCTATACAGTCAAAGTCAGGGTCGGTACAAATCGCACAAGACCAATGACAACAACAGCAATACTGACGACAATCCGTACAGACAAAAACACGCAACTACATTGCTAAAACCGCACATCCTGCCCTTTTTTCAATCCTAGACCCAGACTTAAAAGCCCCGCTGCCAACGCTAAACCCAACATTCACGACTCATCGCGATGAGCCGAAATCCTGAGAGGTTCAAGAAGACAGCATACAGTAATTTAGGGGCCTTCATAATTAGAATAAGGTTTTGGGGCCTAGAATACTATAATAACTATACTAAGGAGCCACCAAAACCCTATTCTAATTGCCAAGGCCCCTATACTATTGGGATGTAGGGATTTGGGCCGATTAAGGGGATTTAAGCTTTGCCGCTTACATCGTTTACACAGGGTACGTTCAGTGGTACCTCAAGTCCATAGTTGCGGCGGAGCATTTAGTTGTGTCCAAATGGGGCAAACTTAAATCACCCCGTCAAGAAGCCATCGACAAACTATACCCTAAACCCGCCCTATAAGCCTTAACCCCTACTGGCCCTATACCCTAAGCCAGGTTTTGGGTTTACGCTGGACCCTCGTTCAAAATACCAAGAGCCACAGGGAGACGCCTCGGTCGGTGAGGAAGGAACTTGCCTTGGAAAAACTGACCCAGTCTGGAGGGCGAGCGAGTATAGGGTTCACTGCTGCATTGTATCAAGGAAGTGGCTTCATGTGCCTTGTTGATGTCGTCTTGTTGCTTCGCTGGTTCTGAAACCTATTTTTGGCGCTTCGGCTTTTGTTTAGGTCTCAGACCCCGGGTGCTTTAAGTGTGTGAGGTTGAAGGTTTGCGAAGGAGAAACCAACCTACCGGTCCTCGATTCGTAGGCCAGTCCCGTCTAGAACCCGATCAAGAGCTTACAGAGCCATCCTGCTCATACAAAAAGCCTGAAGTAAGGCTGCCATTGACGGCCAAGAAGCCAGGAGCCCCGCGTGGAGCCGGGAGAAATACCAGGGCCTGTCATGTTGGCTGTGGGATGCATGCCAACAGTTCTGGCCCAGGGTTTGGTGGCTGTTGGGAACAATGTGAAGAACAGAGGTTGCGGTATAATGTAGTATAGTTATGCTACGTTATATTCAGGACTAATTTTAGAGGAACGTGACATGATTTATACAGGCCCCTATACTTATATATTCGATACGGGTAGCACAAAGAGCAAAAAATAAAGTGGTTTCTGGGAGCGCTTCTCACCCGTCACTGTTCAGGACAGTTTTTGTTGTCTGCGTCGACCGAGATTTCGCAACCAAAGCCTGACCAACAAGCGACTTGGCCTGAAAACGGCGGCCAGCTGGCCCCTGTCACCACTCCCTATGAACCCTAAACTCCGAACCCTAACCCAAATGTTGAGCCCTCCACTCCACTGGCTCATGATCTTTTCCCCTGTCATCATCGTGGTCATCCACCTCATCCTCATCGGCTTTGTTAGTTCTCATGATCACAAAACAATCATGATAAGCCCGCACCGTTTGCTACGACAACGACATCGACGACCACCGCAACGACCGTAACCGCCGGGACCGCCGCCAACATCACCTCCCCCGCCCCATCGCCACGACAAGAACTCTTTAGTTCTACTGGACAATGCTATCGAACATCCGCAATCCTAGTGTATACTGTCGCGAGCAACAGCTAAGGCAGTGATAATGATGTAAGCCGCGACCGCATCTTCTGACAGATGAAAGCCGCTGCAGTAGTACCACAGGCCATGTCTCCCCGAACATGTTGTAGGCCCCAAGCCTTACCTGTACTTTCAATCTGTAGATCCCTTTCCGTTTAAGCAACTGTCTGGTGAAGGTCCTGAAGTAAGGAAACAAAGCGATCACCAAGATGGATCTTTAGTTCAAGTGCTCCACTACCGCTACTACTGCTGCTCTAGTACAACTACTACTCCTCGTCCTGCTGCTGATACTTCTGCTGCTACTGCTACTCCTGCGCCTGTGGCTACTGCTGCTACTAATTAGGCTTGCTACACGACGACGACGACGACGACGACGACGACTACTACTACTACTCCTGCTACTACTACTACTACTAGTACTAGTACTACTACTACTACTACTAGATCGGAAGAGCACAC